CTTGTTATAAAAGGATTTTTAAAGATTATACAAAATGTAATTTTTTTGGGAATCATTCAAGAGCTTCTTTAATTTAAAGTTCAATTACTTGCAGAGCTTGGTGGCACAGGACTTAAATCCCAGCACTCAGGACGCAGAGGCAGGCAGATCTCTCATCTTGAAACCAGGTTGGTGAACATGAGTTCTAGTATAGCTAGTATAGTATAGTATAGTATAGTATAGGCTATGTAGAGACCCTGTCTCAAACAAACACATAAAAATAAGTTCAATTACCATTTTATTGATCATGCAATTATTGAAATCAAGTTACTAATTGTGTTTCATATTAACTAGTAAACATTACTGACATCATTCTTGGACAAGAAAATTTACTTATTTTATGTATTGTATCAATTCATTTAATTGTTTTTCTGTTAGTGTATGTGTGTGGTGTGTGTATGCATGTGGGTATATGTGTTCACATGTGCTGCCAGTGCTCATGCATATGAGTATGGAGGCCAGAAGCTGATGTCAGGTGTCTTCCTTGATTGCTATCTGTTAGGTCAGATGTGGCCCCTTAAAATGGCAATGCTGGCTGTGTGGGTGGGTGGTAGCTTTCAGCTTTAATCCCAGCACTGGGAAGGCAGAGGCAAGTGGATCTCTGTGAGTTTGAGTTCACAAGAGCTAGTTCAAGGCAGCTAGGGCTGTTATGCAGAGAAGCCCTATCTTGGGGTGGGGGTGGGGGGTGGCAGTGCTGGTGACAATATCCTAAATAGAAAGGCTTTGGACAGGTTTGTTGTTGGGTAAACAGAGGCCTAAAGACCCAGTGTTTGTTTACCTGGAATGTCCCTTAATCCTGCCCTCAGAGATCAACTTACTTTAGCAAGGGCAGCTAATTCCCAATCAATCCACACAAGCCAGTTTATCAGGGCAAAGATCCCACCCTTCTGACTGTCATACAAAACCCACTCGCTGTTCCTCCATTTTTCTCCTCAACAGCCGTGGCAGTTTGTCCCCAGGAGACTTTCTTTCCCACCCATGGTGTGGTTCAGTTCAGGGTTTCCCTGTACCTTGTGGACACTCTCTGCTTCATTTGAGGCAGGGTCTCTTGCTGAACCTGGCCAATTGTGGATCCCCAGTCTCAGTCTCTTGAGTGCTGGGATGAGGGTGGTGATCATGAGCTGGGCGGTGGTGGCACGTGACTTTAATGGAAGCACTCAGGAGGCAGAGGCAGGCAGATCTCTGAGTTTGAGGGCAGCAGGTCTACAGAGGGAGATCCTGGACAACCAGGGCTATACAGAGACACTTGGTTTTGAAAAACAAACAAACAAAAATCCCTGAAACCAAACAAAAGAAGCAAAAAACAGTGGTGATGGGAGATGTCATTCTGTAAATATCTCTCTCTTATTGGTTGTTGAATAAGGCACTGTTGGCCAGTAGGAAAGTAAGATAGGTGGGACTAGGAGTCAAGGCGTATTCTGGGAAAGAGAGGCACAGACAGATACTATGTAGGCGCCAGAGGAGTAAGAGGTCTGGACTCTTTTCTCCAGTAAGAGAAATACTTAGATGAACAATTAGGGGTTAAATACTTAAGTCAGAGCTAGCCAGTAAGAAACAAGCAAACGGCCACAGCTTTATAATTAATATAGTGTCCTGTGAGTTATTTGGGAGTCCAGACAATGCGGCAGGGCCCAGGCGACTAGCAGGGAAAACCACACATTACATAATGGTTGTCAGGAGTGGGATTGAATTTCCATGTACAATGACAAAAGCTTAAAAGGGATTTTAGAAACAAAAGAACAGAGAAGCATGGCTTCTTGTTAGCAGCATTTTTCTCAGGTGGACTCTGTTTTGCTAGAGACAAACAGAGACTCATGCGGCTCACTTAAGGGAATCTTCCTGACTCAACATAAGCAGGAAAAAAAACAAAAACAAACAGCAAGGTTCTTTTAAGAGGCTCTGTTAACAATTGAATGGTGTCTACGAGCATCAGGCAGTGGCAGTGACCACATCTCCAAGCCAGCACCATGCTGCTGGATATCAGCATAGACTGAGGCGATGAGCTGGAGTCAAGCTTATGCCAGCAATATTGGAAAGCAGGCAACTGTTTCCACTTTAATTTTAGCAATGTTCTTTAGTCTACATAAGACACGTGGCCAGAAAAATATAAAGTTTTACAGTAAAGTCAGATTCTGATGAAGAAAAATATAGGTAGACTTGGGAGAGTAAAAGAAACAAGATATTGGGAAAAATAAAAATAAAGAAAGTAGCTGCCTTTAAGCCCAGCACTGGGGAGGAAAACATAAACAAAGAGAGTAGCTGGGTGTAGTGGCACATGCTTTTAATCCCAGCAGGCAAGAGGCAGAGTCAGGTGGAAGTCCAAAGAGATACCCTGTCTTAGAGAAATAAATAAATAAATGCGAAAGAAATAGAGTAATATAAGCCACGTAAATATGGAAAATACACAGAAAGTCTGGATACTGTATACAATTGTGTTTTTCAGTTGTTCAGTGGCTAAGGAAGGGACAACTGCTGAAATGTACTTGAGTATAAATGCTGCTGAATTAATCCAACTTATATTGAAAGACACCTACCCAGGGCCCCCTAGGAAAAGAAAAACAAGGCCAGGCCGTTGCCCAATGGAAAAATCCAGACCAGGTGCCTTGCCCAGCTGGCGCTTCAAACAGGATGTCAAACAGGATGTCTGTGGTCACCAGAGCAATCATGGGACCCGGATAATAATTGCTGAAGCGTTCCGGGGTCTTTCATGAGGTAATACCAGGAAACCTAGTCTGTGGGAACTACCTCTGCCCCCAAGATGAGCCAATGAAATGCCTGTTGCTATGCTGATACTTACGCAACCATTAAAACTCTACAAATATTATGCTCCCTGCAAGCCCGGTATGCTCTGCACCCATGTTGCAGTAGCATCCGCAGGTGCCTGTGTACTCAATAAATCACCTCTTGCATTTGCATCCAGTGGTCTGGCCCCAGTTCTTGGGCAGAGGGTTCGGTTCGGTGCCCGGCGCTTTGATGCCGAGGTCTTTCAACATATTTCAAAAATGCTTTAACTTCTAACTTTAAATATAAGGACAGGTTACTTGGGGAAAGAGTTTTTATTTATGTTTCTACAGAAAATGAAAAGCCATGGATTCCTTCCAGGCTTCTGTGGTTTGATGAACCAAGACCTCTGGAAGCAGTGGGCCAGGTGTTCCAACGTCTAAGACAGCTGAGATGATACAGCCTTAAGGACTACAAAAAACAAGGACTTAGCCATGTTTTTGAGTTTTGTCATGATCCCCATGGTATGGACAGCGTCCCCTATCAGCAGGAAGCAGTTTGGAATGAGCAACATCCAAATTCCCATATTGTTTATAAATCTTTGTTTTCATTTAAATGGGGTTGCTTATAATTAGTTAATGATCACAACCAATCTATTTTTAAAGGTAAAAGGGATATTATGATATGGAAATGAATACTTGGTATGGGAATAGTTTTTCATTTATTGATCCAAATTCAAGATCAATTTTGTGATATGTATATTTCTCCTCTTGTTTAAGTATTGTGTTTATACTTATCTTTTATATTTGAAAAAAAGTTAAGACTTTTCTTTTTGTTTAAACAGAAAAGAGGAGATGTTGAGGAAGTCCTGCGTATATGTCAATAAAACACTGTTGGCCAATAGGGAAGCAAGATAGGTGGGACTAGGAGTCGAAGAGTATGCTGGGAAGGAGAAACACAGGGAGTCAAGATGTAACTGCCATAGGGATAAGAATCCCGGAAAGTTCTCCAGTATGAGAAATACTTAAGTCAGAGCTAGGCAGTAAGAAACGAGTAAGGCCAACAGCTTCATAATTAATACAGCGTCTTGTGTGTTATTTGGGGACTACAACGCAGCAGAGCCCACTGTTTGGCTGGGAAGTGATTTTTTTTTTTTCATTTCAAATTCCCATTGTTTCTATACATTATTGGCAACTTATAGGAAATACCCTGACTTTTGTCTCTTGTCCATCTACAGAGTTTCTTGTTATTTCCAAAATGGTGGTTCTATTTCAACATGAATTTTGAAAACTACTATAATGGTATAACCAGAATGCTGAATTTGGTAATTTAATGGTGATGTTAGAAGTGTTTCATAGGCTTTGGGGAACACTAACCATTTAGCAGTGCTCTGGACAGCCAACAGAAGGCATTGCCACAGGGCTCCAGAACTTAGTAGGCCCTGAGACTGTAGCACCACTGACTCCACGATGGAAGCACCATTCAGTCTGTAAATCTCAGCTTGTAGAGAACACCACCTGCCAAAACTAAAACAAAGGCATTATCTATCAAAATCAATAACGGGAAAGTCTCTAAATGTACTAATCTTGCTTTTTGGCCTCTGTCGTTCTCCTGTGTAACTGTTCTGCTCTTTTTGTTTTGTTTTGTTTATTTGGTTTTTCGAGACAGGGTTTCTCTGTGGTTTTGGATCCTGTCCTGGAACTTGCTCTGTAGACCAGCCTGGCCTCGAACTCAAGAGATCTGCCTGCCTCTGCCTCCTGAGTGCTGGGATTAAAGGTGGAGTAACTGTTCTTGTTAACTGAAGTAACTCAGGACATGGTTGTTGTGCTTAAAAGCTCAAAGGTTTGGAGCTGTACTGGGATCCCAAACACCCAGGGTAGTCGCCAGCCGGCTAGTAAAGACTTTCTATTTATTTAAACCTGTGTCAGAGCAGTCTTCCTGGTGACTTTCCCACAACAGGTACCATACCTGGCTCAGTGCCTCCCTCAGAGATATTTGATTTGTTTCTAGGTGAACACAGAGGAGTTTCCTTCTCAGGTTCTATACTGCTTTGGGCCACCTGGGGTTCGAACGAGAGAAAGGTGAAGGAATATTTCCCATCGCTATCTGTTCTGAACCGTGAAATCCACTATTCCTGGTGATTCGAGTGTGGATCTGATGGGGAAATGTCCTTTTATGCTTGCCATAGTTCCTCAGAGGCTCATGGGTAATGTAGTCCCTCACACCTACGCCTCCCTCAGGTAAAGAGCTCTGGCAGTCGGCTGGCAGGCGCCTCTGTCCAGCACTCTCCCGGGAACTATGGCTTAGAAAGTCACCTCCTGGCGCTGTGCTGACGCCGTTCCTCCGGCTGAGAGTTTGGTGCGGGTTTCCTGGAGGCGGCTGCGAAGGAGAAGGAGAGTGGCCTTGCGATCCTCGGAAACGGGACCCGAACCCCTTCTCTCGGTGGGAGCAGAAACAGGTGGGTCTCGGGGGTCGCACTGGGACGCAGTGCAGACGAGACCAGGTCTGCGAGGAGACTGGGAGACCCCCATTCTCAGTCGGTACTGACAGCCTGGGCCGTGCTTTCTTGGTCGTCGGGTCAGAGACTGCGCATGGAGGTGTCCGGGTGTGGGATTCCAACCGTCCAAAGCGCCGTTGGCCAGAGCCCAACATGGCGACTAGGGCTGAGGGCGATGCCGGTATTTACATTGCGGGGGTTGGAAGCCTGCGGCGTGAGCTCACTTTCCGACCCTTGGCAGGGCAGGATCCTGTTTCCTGTTTGCATATTTTTTTTTTTTGAGACCGGGTTGGGGTGCAGAAAGACCTGTGACTGGAGACCAGACTACACAGACTACAGACCGGGAATTTTCACCAGCATGACCCAGAAACCCCAAACCACGAGCCTGGGAAAGTGTAAGCTGACACCACAGTGCTGGAGCCTTGAAGGGGGCCTGTGACCCACTCTCCTGTACGAAGGAGGATGTCTGTTGTCCTAATGAATTGACCCGAAATTCCTAGAGAAATTCTCATGTAGTGACTGTAGCCCCTGTCGCGTATTGGCGATTGTATTCGTTAAATTTCCTGATTTCTTCACGAAATCACGTTTTTGGGGGGGCCTCCTATGCGTTGGGTAGTCAGCTTGACAGTGGCCAGCTTGGCACTGCAGGTTTGAGCTCTTAGTGGTTCTCAACCTAAGAGTCGAACGGCCCTCTCACAGGGACCGAATACTAGACATCCTGTATGTCAGATGTTTATTTACATTACGATTCATAACAGCAAACTTACAGTTAAGAAGTAGCAACGAAGACAATTTTATGATTGGGGGTTACCAGAACACGAGGAACTATAATAAAAGGTCACGGCATTAGGAAGGTTGAGGACCACTGTCTTAGAAGGTTGTGTTTCGTTTTTGCAGGTATCTAGTCACCGGAGACGAGAAGTTCTTTCAGAAGATTCTAGTATTGAAATAGGAACATTTTCTTGGGAACAAAGTATGTGTGTGGGGCTATAGTTGTGAAGGATGGTGTTTCATCGGTAGGATTCTATCCCACCATTATGGAGCAGACTGTTAATAAGAGAAGGAAGTGCTGGGTCAGGGTAGGGAATTACCTCTTGTTCCAAGCCTTAGAATGCTGCAACCTATCTCCAAAGAACTGCAGTGTCTGTGAGACAGGCCCCTTTGAATAAAACTGCTCTTTGACTAACAGGGTCTACCCACATTTTCATGGCAGATATTGCATAATTGAAAGTACCAGTACATCATGACATGCTAACGTTTCCAAACAGAACAGTGGCCGATCTGGAATACCCGATTCCTTCTCCATTACCCTCGTGCTCAGCCCACTATGTTGGTGGCCTGTATAGGGAAAGATTGTTGATCTGTGAATGAATTTGCCTTTTAGACCAGACTGGGAAGTATGTGTATTGAGTATTATTCAATAGAGCTGTAAGCTGGGCAGCAATGAGGTCGGGGGCAGGGAATAGACTTGTTCAGATAGAGGAGATTCTTTGTGTGCATTTCTCTGGCTTGTAATACATGTGTGGAGATCAGTTCACATGGGTCTGTGTATGTCTCCAGGGAGTTAAGCAGGAGCTCCTGTGAATATAATTCCAGCTGTGTAATGGCCATGCAAACAGTCTCAGTCCTGTGAAAATTCTATAGTGGGAACCTGCTCCACGGCAGGCAAGATCTACTGTTAATGGCCTTCTCTCCACAACTAGTGCATTTGAGCAGAGGCAGAGTGAAGGTGAAACACTTAGCTTTGCGAGACCTAACCAGTCACTGATCCCATTGCTTAGAACAATTTTTGGGCAAAGCTACCACCTTCTCATAAGCTACCAATATATGGGTGATAATCAGGGGCTTGATCCTCTGTAGGAGGCTGAGGTTAGCTCTCTTCTACCAGTTTAGTTGAAAAAGACAGGTAAGGACCTGGGAAATCTTTATTGGATCTGAAAGTTCTTTGTGATCTAGTATGGAGGGGTGCCCTGTCACACCTGGCTGAATCAGTGGTTGCTAAGTTTACTTTTCCCTTTCTCTTCAATCACTGTTTCCATTGTGTGACCTCTTAGTTAATTTTGTATGTGAGTATATTGTCTTTATGTATGTGTTTACCACATGCAGTTAACAAAAATCAATATTTGTGAATTTTCTAATACTGATTTCCAGTTACCATGTGCATGTCTCAGATCTGAATGTTTCTATTTTTGGTGTTGAAATCCAGTGTCTGAGTGTGATTTGCAAATGCTTTGCCACAGGACAAAGTGCCCGCGTTTCAAACACTTTCTGAATACCTTGTCCTAAGCTTCCTACCCTTCTTATCATCAATACATGCTGTACATGGTATCACCTTATAAGTTGAAAATGGAAGTGTTAATACTAGTATTCTGTTAACCAAAATTCCTAAGGATGAAAATAAATGGATTCAGTCTCAGTTTTTTAAAATGAAGAAATTAGATCACATCAAACTTATGCTCTAAACCTATATATGCAAATACTACAGAATGCTACAGTCACACGAAAGTAACAGCTTCTCTGTTTAAAAGCTTAGACACCCTCTTTGTAGCCAGATACTGCTTTTTCTGAATCATGTGACTTCAACTGTTCTTACTGTAGTTTTCAAACCTTAGGCATCTAGTTAAAGAAAACGTTTTATCGTGTTGTCATGCCTGGAAACTACTTCCCATTATATGTTAAAACAATTGAAATCTAAATCATTGAACGTATCAGCCTTTCTTGTATAACAAGTCAACACAAATTTTGCTGTGAAGGACAATTTAATTTTTTTCACATAGGTCACTATCTCGTCTGGTCTCAGCTGGTAAAGTGCTGCATCCTCCTGCCTTCACTGACAATGGGGTTTGAGTCACAGTGCTCTGAGGCTGCTGCATTCTGTGTCCTCACAGCTAATGGTTCCTGATGAGTCTTTCAAGGCTCTATTTCCATCAAGCTGGCACCAAGGTTCTTCACAACACAATTGTGTCTAGTAGGTAAGCACCAGGGCTGGAGAGATGGCTCAGTGGTTAAGTAGGTAAGCACCATCAGGAAATGCTTACCAGGCTTAGGTAGTCTTCACATTTACTGAGTTCTCTTGATCAAGTCAGTCAAATGGCTTATGTTATTTATGGGAACTATATCAGGGTGTGGATACATAGACATGTCCCATTTGGAAACAACCTTGACCATCAGTGTCCTATAAGAAATATGTGTTGTGTCGGGCAGTGGTGGCGCAGGCCTTTAGTCCCGGAGGCAGAGTCAGGTGGATCTCTGTGAATTTGAGACCAGCCTGGTCTACAAGAGCTAGTTTCAGGACAGCCTCCAAAGCCACAGAGAAACCCTGTCTCAAAAACAAAAACAAAAAAAAAAAGAAAGAAAGAATGAAGGAAATATGCATTGTTTAATTTTTTTTCCTGTATAAGCATGGGCAGAAAAATCTTGCAGTCTGCATTTTCCACACACATGAGCTGGATGAAGGAAGAAGTAGTATAGAAGAAGTGTGTGTTTGGAGATCATTCGGGTGGGTTAATACAGTATTCCAAGTATCAGGTTCATTTCTGTGTTAATAGTAGGGAAAACATGACTCTGGTTTTAATTAAGTGTTTTTAAAGGAGAATATTATTGTTATCAAATTGTTCATTACTTGGTGATGTTTGTACTCATTAACTCAGCCTTAACTTTCATGTGCTATGGCTCTGAATGCACTTGTGAGTCCATTGTCAATGGTGTCTTTGTTGTACTTTCTTGTGGATGAGACTATTTCCTTCCTCCCTTCCTCCCTTCCTTCCTTCCTTCTTTCCTTCCTTCTTTCCTTCCTCTCTCTCTCCCTTGCTTTCTATTTTAAGACTTATTTTGTGTGCACTGGTGTTTTGCCTGCATGTATGTATGTGTGAGTGTGCCAGATTCCCTGGAACTAGAGTTACAGGCATGTAAGATGCCATGTGGATGCTGGGAATTGAACCTGTGTCTTCTGGAAGGGCAGCCAGTGCTCTTAACCACTGAACCATCTCTCTAGCTCCTAGAAATTTTTTTTTTTACAATTTTCTTTTCTTCTTGTTTTTCAGCTAATTGCATAGGTTTTGAGTGGAGAGTCTAGGACCAAGTCATGAATATGCTCTCACTGTCATGACTCTACACTATTGTATCTCTCCAGTATCACGTGTGTTTCCAAGAGCAAATCCACAACCAACCAACTTACAGACACAGACATCATGAATGAATATGTGGTGAGTTGTTCATTCCCCACTTGATTACATATTGCTCTTTTATTCATAATCTGTCCATCATTAAGACCTGCCCAGTTATGAGAAAATTAGACTTCAACCTTTTTTTTTTTTTTTTGGTTTTTTCGAGACAGGGTTTCTCTGTGTAGCTTTGGAGCCTATCTATTGTGGTACTTGCTCTGTATACTTGAGTGGCCTTGAACTCACAGAGATCCACCTGCCTCTGCCTCCCAAGTGCTGGGATTAAAGGAGTGCACCACCACACCCAGCCTACTTCAACTCTTTTAGTAGTAATTATAGGAACATTTAATGAATTGTAGTTTCCCTTATTGCCACACATTGTTCATATTTCTCCCAGATTTAAAATATCTTTGACCACTGTCATTGCCACTGTGAGGTTTTGCCATTATGGAACTGGATGAAATCATGATTAAGTGCCTGTTAACCTCCCATATCATACACATCCCACACATAGTGAAGAGACTGGCAAGTACATACATGTGTGTGTATACAAGGGCGGTGGGATGTGGGGTACCTTATGCATCCTGACTGGTGTTTATTCCCATTAGACAGCTATGACAGTTCTTTGCAGAAGCCCTAGTCCAGGGCCATGCTTCATCTGTCTTCATTCTGCTCTCTCGCTCTTGCAAGTCTCTCAGTTGGTATTCTTTTTCTCTAGCAAATGGCTCCGTTTGCAATTAACCATCTTAGCTGGACATTGGTGGCGCTCGCCTTCAATCCTAGCACTTGGGAGGCAGAGGCAGGCGGATCTCTGTGAGTTCGAGGCCAGCCTGGTCTACAGAGTGAGTTCCAGGACAAAAAAACAAACAGATCAGTTAGCCATCTTTTTTTTCTCATGTCAGTCAAATACTTAGAAGCCTTTTACATTTAATTTGTTGGAGCTTGAACCCACGGTCTCATGAATGTGAAGCCTTCCTCTATTACTGAATGATGCCCTGAACTGTCCATTTCTACTCTCCTTGCTTTCTTTTTTCTTTTTTTTGAGGGGGGGGTTTGAGATAGGCTTTCTCTGTGGCTTTGGAAGCTGTCCTGGAACTACCTCTCTTTTTCTTTTCTTCTCTCTCCTTTTTTTTT